AATACACATGAAACAACTTAATCATGTCTATATAATCACACTATATAGCTATAAATCTGTCTCTCTTCAGTGCGACCACATGAAACGTAGCATTTACATCAGTACAGAGTAGTCGAGAAGCTCACTGAGTGTTTTCCGTCTACAAGGTCTCCTATGAAATGTCTTGTGCTACATTCAGTCTGACCAGATCAAGATATTTTTTCTCCAACATGCCCCATGTGTTTATCTAAGGGCTCAGCAGGCGTAAGGTGGAGGTTTCTCAAAGGGGTTGTAGGCAGATCCATAGAGGACAGGAGCGTTGGGTGTCAGCATGTAGCCCCCTGGTTCCTGGGTGGCTCCCTGAGGCTGTGGCTGGGTGGGAGCCTGAGAGGGCTGCTGGTTCTGGTTCTCCTCAGACAGGCAGGAGTTGGATGCAGGGCCTCCATCAGGGATCATCTGGGGAGTAGCAGGTGGCTGGTAGCCGTTGTTGTGCTGTGGGAGAGGAGAGACAGAGAGGGGTGGGTTCCAACGGTATGTGGAAGTAGAGCCAAAGAAGATACCTAAAATCATTTCTAACATTTTTATGTGAGGTGTTTTTTTTTAATTCTCTTGATTGTGTTGTTTTGTTCTCTGATAGCAGACAAAGAAAACTTTAGACAAAAATTTGCAGTCATCATTAAAAATACACCATGATACATACAGTATATATGAAACAATGCAACTGCTGATTCAAGGTGATTGGCTTGTTTAAGAAGTGCAGGCCATGTAACCGTTTACTTTATGGCACCTATTCATAAAACATCAGACATTCCTGTTTTCAACAGATGCTTGGATAAACATCATCACACAAAGATTTATCTCTATGAGACAAGAAGACCAGTAGAACAATCTACAGCAATGCTAGCGGCTCTGTGAAACTGTATTTAGGCACAATGGTGCTTTGAGCTAAATGCTAAGATGCCCATAATGACAATGCTAAGATGCTGATGTTTAGTTGGTATAATGTTTACAATGTTCACTATCTTAGTTACAAAGTACGAATGAGCTTGTTCTCAAAATCACAAATGTCAACCTCATGGTCAAGTCACACCATAAATGTACCAGATTTCATAGCAATCCATCTAATATTTGTCAAGATAATTCAGTCTGAACCAAAGCGGTGGACCGACTGACCTTGACATCCCTAAAGCCGTGCCTCTATCGTGTCTAAAAATGTGGTCTTTGTGATGGTTCATCCATCAGTACACGTGTAGGATTGAGAAAACGTGGTTTTAGTCAAGCCTTGCAGGTGATCCACTCAGTAATGTGACGTGGCAGCAGTGCAGATTAATAGTTTTCTTTCTGGCCAAGCGCTTTGATGTTTGAGAGTGAAACATCTGTGCTGAAGCAGGAAGAATACATTTGATCCAGTGTTGCTCATCTGGTCTCCAAACTAATACACTGGCACAGGAAGATGGGCTTTTTTATCACAGCAGTAGACGTTTTCTACTTGTCATTGTAGGAAAAAAACAGGTGTTACTAATAACATTAAAGATGGCTCTGTTCTATTCAAGTGTCCCAGTAAGCTGTGACAGTTAAATTCAGCCGTCACTAATTTTGTTATTCACACTTTTCCTACAGAGTAATAGGTCTTCTGTGAAAAGGTTCCTATTAATGGTTCTTTTTTTTGTTCCTACCTGCATGGGTATTGGATAGTTGGGGTAGGCGGGCAGAGTCTGTCCCGAAGGACAGAAGCCAGCGTAGGTGAGCATGTGCTGGTTGGGGTTGTACAGGATGTGGGGTGGTGGTGTGGGGCTGGGAGCCATCTGCGGAGTTGGCTTCTGCTGCAGGAAGACAGTAAAAATGCTTTGGATAAGACTGGAAGTCATCAGAAAGGAAGTGAGCGTGCACCAGTTACACATGAAACACACACACACACACACACTTCATTATATTAGAGTAATATGATTGCTGCCTAATGTACTGAAAGAACAGTAATCGTAAAATCAGGACCATTAAGACTAACAAAATAACATCAGTGTCTCATGTCTCTGAAAGAGAGAGAGACCAGACTACCATTCATGCCAGAGAAATAGCATTTTACTGAGGTTTTAGTACTTTCATGTGTGAGCAGTATATTTTTGAAAATGTGGTAAGGCAGTGAAACAAAAAGATATCTGCACACATAAATCAGTCTTATGTTTCAAACAAAGCATTGGTAAAGTAACAGTAACAGGTTCAATCTGTGTTGATCAGATGCATGTTTAGCACCAATCTAACCTTTTCTGGAAGCTTAGAAAAAAGCTCAAGTTAGAGATGTTGTTGCAGTGCCATTAAAATAATGTACTCTAATGACACACCCTGAAGATCAGACAGGATCCTATGTTTTACACAGGCCAGAAACAGATGTTAGGGATTTTACGTTGTTCAGTGTCAGATGCTGTACGTAGCCTGCGGGCAATAAGGAAAGGTAACTAGTTTGAAGTCACGAGTAGAATAAAAAGCCTTCATCAAGGGTGCTGTAACTTTTATCTCAGGCTCAGACTGCCTTTAAATCTTCAACCTTTGAATTCTCCCTTTGAAATCACCCTTCACTCCAAAGAGCACTTTAAAAAAACATGTTGGGCTCACAATATCTTTGTACGCTCCAAGGATGGCGGCAGTGATGATTCCCAGGAACAGGCCGATCACGTTGAGCACCACTGAGGCCCACAGCAGACGGTGCAGGTGGATCACATCCCAGCAGCTGCTGACCCCGGTAAACTGATAGTACTGCGTGTGGTACTCTAAGCTGGAAGAGGAGGAGAGCCGTCATGGGCTGGTTAGGATGACTTAGAGGCTGAAGATCTGTTTTTATTATTATTGTTGCAAATCACAAAGCATGTGTTCTTTATATTAAGGGGAGGAGACAAAGAAACAAAGAATTTTCCAGGCAGCCATTTATCTGCTAATAACTAAATATTTGCAAGCTAAGAGAAACTTTTTGGAAAACTCTTCCTCTTTGGTGTGTTCAAGAGCTTATGGAAAACTCTACCATGTGGGATTTGAAAGTTGGCCGTACAACAGGAACCTCTTTTCATGCAAAAAAGTGCCAAAATCAAAGGATCCAAGAGTGATTTCCAAACAGCAGAGCCTGTAAATGCATTTTTTGGCAGCCAGCTCTGCAATCTAAGATACTGTTTTTACACTAGCCCCTGCTCTCTACTGTATCATCGAACAAGTGTAACATTAACTGACAAAAACACATAAACAAACATTTTGACTGTAGGAATGATATCTTGAGACAGTTAAATCACAATACAAATATGTCAAGATTCTAAACGGTGAGATGAAAAATGAATCGTCATACTGTTTTTATACAGTAGAGGGCACTATCTAATTTTTACTTTCACAAATAAAAGGAAATAAACATTGTTTTGCACAATTTATGCACCCTATTTCACCATTTCAGAAATAAAAAGGAATTCTTTAATTAAATAAAGACAATATGTTTTGTAGGAATATGTTTTATACTGTGAACCCAGTATCATGAATTGTATCAAATGGTGAGTTTAGTGTATCCTCCCTAGTTTACTGTGTGGATGCATACATGCACTCTAATGTTGCTCAGATCCAGAGGTGGCAACAGTACACACAGTATTTACTCAAGTAGAAGTAGCAATACTTACTGTGTAAAAAGTAATGATTCAACTTTTTCCCTCAAGTAAAAGGGGGAAAAGTACAGGCTCTGAAATGTTAAAATCAAAGGATAACAGTAAAAAGTACCCTCTTGGTTTCTCTGAAGGATATTTCTAATCGATGTTTCTGTGCTAAGTTAACTGAAACTTAAAATAGGGTCAACCTAACGACAAAAAACAGACCTTTTCGTCATGTTATGTCTGTTATGCCTGATATAAACCAGTCTTGATGTTGGGATGGTATGCAATGATGCAAAACTTAATAAATATGATAATAATGATAGATAATTCCCCTCAAATGCATTAAAACACAAGTACATTTGTGTAAAAATGTAGGCAAAAGTAAAACGAAAAAATGAAGTATTTGTACTTCCCACCTCTGCTCAGATGTGAACCCCAGCAGTTTGAGTTGTGTCTCACCTCTCACAGTTGTACAGGTAGCAGCAGTAGCAGGTGTTGCTCCTCAGTTTCAGCTTGCACGCTTTGTCGAATGAACGGCACGTCACCTGCGGCGTCAGAGAAAGGTTCTCAGAGCTTTAATCATTTGTAATAAAAAGTTGTAATAAGAGTTTTAATAACCTCATGGAAACTGACAGCAACAGTCAGATAAGCTGCATGTTAACATGTAATTTCATTTGTTTGTAATTTGAGTTGTGTGTGTGTATATATATATATATATATATATATATGTTGTTTTCAGTGCAGTGACACTATTTGACCACTAGATGTCACTACACACTTTGTGAATTAAGCACCAGAAACCTGCAGGACAGACTATAATCTTACAGTGTATTTACCTAAAATGCATTTCAAACAGTTACAGTTACAACATTTGGAAGACAACATGTGTCTCAGCAGTGTGTAGGAGGAGTAAGACTGGTAAGTGAATGGGAAGCACACATTAGGTTAGGCTAAGTAAGTATTTCGATTATTATTCTAGATGCTCTGTGAGGTTTTTGGTGTGTCTATACAACACACACAGTCGCAGGTGATATTAAGTGTGTACATATACAGTATATATATATATATATATATATATACATACATGTATTAGAATCACCTCTGTATAGTAGCTGTCGTAGGCATATCCCGATCCACTGGCGTAGAAGTCACACATGTCCTCTTGCAAGGGCCTTGTGTCCTGTGTTAGAAACATGACCCACAGTTATATGGAAGCAGACAAACTAATATCAAATGTATAGCTCAGTCAACTTGTCATTCACCACAACTGGGATCTTAATGTTTCTCCCTGCATCAGTTTTTTTATTTATAGTAAATTCTCAATGGTTTCAATGATGCACTTTTTGTATCATGTAAAACTTACACGTGTGTGAATTTATGCATCACCCTCCTGTTTCTCTGTGAGGGTTTACAACACGTGCCCACTCAAAGCCGTCCACTGCACCAGACTACAAAACCTGCAGCATTAAACCTCATTGGACTTTATATAATGTGGAATATAATGTGATTGTCCGAAGCTTGGAGGTGCAATAAATATGACTTTTACTGTCCTGTGAGCACAAAGTGAATATATCTGCAGAGGTTTGATAGCACTGTTGATCAATATCAGCGTCTTGGTGCCAGGTGCTGAGAGGTCCAGCTTTTTAAACCCTCTCTGGTCCATACTCATTAAGACACTCATTAAAATTCATTAAGTCGGTGTGACAAACGGAGGTGTTGGTGTCTACGTATCCAAACACTGAGAACATCTAAGATATCCAGTAAGGAAGCAACAATGACCTTATTGACCTCTCCGCATTTTCCCTTCATTCCCATGTAAACAAATAAAATCAGGTATTTGCACAAATTTAATTTCACGTAAAATAATTTAGTCTGAGAGTTACTAAAGTCAAGAGAGTTTGAAACTGTCCTCTGACTGATGGGGACCAGGGGCAGATCTAGAGAATGTGGTGACAACGGGGTGGCATGAAGGAGTGTCAGAAATGTATATACTAATGAAATTGCAAACAATCACATTGTATATTTGCTTGGAAAAGCCCGCAAATTAAGATATTTTAACTCGAAAGCATTACATTATTGTGGCACATGAGTAAAGCATTAGAAATATCAAATTGTTTTAGTTCCAAATCTTCACACATTTTTCCAAATATGTTTTCATTGAACTCAAGCCTATCACTTAGTCTAAAATGTGGCCATAACAGATCATTAAATGAATTTATATTTTTTAACACATAATTCATAAAACTAATCTAAATGAATGTGTTAAATGTGACAACATCTGACACCAAACTAGGGTGGCCAGGCA